TTTTTTTTTATAAATAAATAAAATCTTATAGATGTGTTTTGCTTAGCTGATTTAAAATTCATATTTGTTACCAAATAAGAAGGAGTTTTCTTGTCCAGAGTTTTCATCTCATGATTTTAATAATAATAATAATAATAATAAAAATTTAATTAAAAGGTAATTGCATTTTTTTTATCTCACAATTCTAACTTTTTCTCAGAATCTGACTATTTGTTTTATATCACAGTTAAGACTTTTCTTCCCAAAATAGCGAATTTATATCTCCCAATTCTGAGTTTATATCTTACAGTTCTGACTTACAATATTCGGAGTGAAAAATGTGAGAGATAAGTTCAGAATTGCGAGGAAAAATGTCAGAATTGTGAGATAAAAAGTCCTAACCTTTGTTATTTTTTATACCTTCGTGGGAAAATTCTTCCACAACTTAGTCTAATATATTGGGACAAAAAAAAAGGCAGAAATAAAATGTAATTTCCCAAATTCGCTTATTTTTTATCCAGTGGATTGAGCAGCAGTTCAATCCAGTTAATTCAGTAAAATCACAAGAACAAGCACACTGCAACTTTGAATAATAACGAGCACTTTAACTCGAGCCCTGAAATTGTGGGCTAAATCTAGTCAGATATTACAGCTGATATTAAAATCTGACAGAAATACAGTTCATTACACAAAATTGCACGTTGCAGAAAATGGTCCAGGCCAGCATGCGCTTATTAAGAGCTTCGGTGAAGGTTTGAGAACTTCTCATTAAGAACTTTCACAGCTGACGACAAACAAAAGAGAGCGATAATGAGTCATTGTCCAACGTATAAAAATAAAACGACAAGCATGATATTCATACCTCTGGTTTCCATGGCAACTTTTTGTACTTCTGTGCGATGAACTTGCGGATTTCAGCTTGATCTTTGTCATGAAGGGTGCCAGCGTTGGGCTCATCTTCCTGCAAGAGAGAAAAAGAGACGGCCATGTCAACATGACACATTTCCATTAATAATGATGTTATTAAATGAATAACTCATGTTATTTTCTAATATATTTTAAAATATTCACATTAACATTTTACTGATGTGTTATATATATATATATATATATATATATATATCTGTGTGTTTGTGTGTGTGTGCACGCATATATTATTTTATTTTAAAGTATTCTGTATAAAACAAAATTATAATATATATATATATATATATATATATATGTGTGTGTGTGTGTGTGTGTGTAATTTGTAATTTATTTATTTATTGTTTATTTTATTTTATTTTATTTTATTGCTTTTAAAGATGAGAAAAGGTGACAGGTGGGTTAAATTATCTCCAAAAATATTTATAAAAAATAATAAATAAGTAAATAATTAAATAAAAAGAAAGAAAGAAAATAGGTCTGACATTTGTATGTATATATAAATATTTTATATATGTTGGGGTATATATTTTATATGAATTTTATTTTATTTCATTTATTTATTGCTTATTTTATTATTATTATTATTATTATTTAATAATAAAAGGTGGATGAATGTGACAGGTGGGTCACATTATCTCCAAAAATATAAAAAAAATAAAAATAAATATAAGTAAATAATTAAATAAAAATAATAAATAAATAAAATTAAATAAAAAGAAAGAAAGAAAAAATTAAATAATAATATAATATTGATGTAAAATTAAATAACTGTTATTTAAAATAATTTGTATATTATCTTTAATGCTACTTTTATTAAATGTATATTAAATGTATAAATACTGTAATGTGAATCTCCTTTGAGAATAATAAAAATAAAATGGATGCAGGATATGGGGTAAAAATGTGCATAAAATGTCATGAAAATAATATCAGAATATAAGAAATCATAATTATTCTAAAACAGGCTTAGTTTTCCTAATGCAAAATATAATTATGTATGTTTTTTTATATATCTTGGGGTGAAATGTGACCTGGACATGTTTATGACAGGTTTCCTGACTCCAATAACACTGATCTTTCAGAAACAGCATTTCCATTAGAAGATGGTCTGTCAGACATGCAGCAGCTTTTCTTTGGTGAGCTCTTCTCTTCAGCTCTCAGTTCATTTCTCTCCATATTAATCTCCTGCTTCAGTCATGTGTCACATGTCAATGTTCAGTGCTAATTGAAAATTGCATCGAAGCATCACAAAACCCGATTAGGAGTGGCTTAAAGTCAATACTGTCGAAGAGAAGTCGCAGTAATAAAGGCCTTTATATATTGTGTTAGTTATTATGCGTCTCATTTGACAGCTGGAATGACTGGTTATGTTCACAAACCCACAACCATACTTAATATTTCACAAGTGTATAAGTATGCATACTGTGAATGCATATGTTCTCTATGCAAACAAGACCTGGATGACCTGAGCATATTATGCTAGGAATTCTATCCCATAATGCAATGCACTCAAATTGACCTTGTATTCCCTCATGTTATCCATAATCACTCCACTGGTTCATTATTTAATTGGACTGCAAGAGTTTTTAATATTTATTTTTAATTAACGATTAATCACATCCAAAATAAAAGTTTTTGTTTACATAATATATGTATGTGTACTGTGTATATTTACAATGTATATATAAATACAAACACATGCATGTATATATTTAAGAAAAACATGTTATGTTTATATATTAAATATATTAATATGTAATATAATTATATAAATGTATATACATGTAAATATTTTCAAAATATATACTGTATGTGCGTGTATTTATATATACATAATAAATAAACAGTACACACACATATATTATGTAAACAAAAGCTTTTATTTGGGATGCGATTAAGCGCGATTAATCGCTTGACAGCACTAGTATTAAACATTGATAATAAGAATAAATGTGTGTCAAGCATCAAATCGGTATATTAGAATGATCTCTGAAGGATCACGTGACACTGAAGAATGGAGTAATGATGCTGAAAATTCAGCTTTGATCACAGAAATAAATAACATTTTAAAATTTATTACAATAGAAAACTGTTATTTTAAATGGTAATATTATTTTTAAATATTACAGTTTTTTTCTGTATTTTTGATCAAATAAATTTAGCCTTGGCAAGCAGAAGAGACTTGTTTCAAAAACGGAAAAATTATCTTACCGACTCCAAACTTTTGTACTGTATATAGTGTATGTGTACACTTTTGTAGGTAGTGCAGGGCTCGACAATAAGGACTGCCCGATGGCCCGGGTCCAGCGTGAAAGACATTCGGGACAGTAGATGGATTTGTCACTTGCCCGATTGGGCCACTGCAGCATAGTCATGATTTATCATTTGCATGTGTTTTTAAGACTTGTTAAAAAAAATTCAAGCAATTAAAAAGCATTTGGGTGCGAAAGACAACCCCTTTCAGTACACGCACAGACAGCCGCATCTCTGACACGCACGAGCCGCCTGAATGGGCAAATACTTACAAAAGTATGTCAAAATGCCCGTCCTGTCAAGTAACTTTGTAGCTTTAACAATAGTTAATCTATATTGAATTTATACAGTGGAGTACAGAAGCACCGATCTACCGGACATTTTTTTGTTTTATTTCAGACTATCTTCTGTTCCGTGCATGCACACAAACTGCACTGCAATCATTTTTCCAATGGCCATTTGTGTGGAAATATTATGTTATTATTATACTTAGTCTGTAAACGGCCGTTAACAGAGGCCAGAGATGCTGAAAATACTGTAGCAGGCAGAACAAGATCACTGTTCATGATGCGCGAAATATAGGACACTTGAACAACAATTGTACACAGGAGCAGTTCCGGGCGGATGACGTATGAGGTCGGCGTTGTGCATGCGCCGCTCAGAAGTGACGAACGCAGAAGCGCAGCGGAAAGATCAAAACAAAACAACAATCACGAATTAATAGTACAAAACCAGCATTTGTAAAGAAGAATGTCGGAGGATTTCGATATAAGCCAAGAGGAGACTGGTTTTCCTTTGCTAAAGTAAGGAAACTTTGCTTCCTTTGCTCCTGTTAACAAACGTTGGTTTTCACAAGACTCCCCGGCACATGCGCAACGCTGACCTCATACGTCATCCTCCCGGAGCCGCTTCCGTGTACAACTGTTGGCGCAAGCTAGATTAAAGGGATTGTTACGTTTTGAATATGGATATTTTTCTTACAAAAACGCATCGATTCGCTACATGAGGCCTTTGTTCAACCCCCGCAGCCATGTGAGGCACTTTTTATTATGAATGGATGCGCTTTATTTCACTTCTTTTGGACTGATGCACTGCCATTAAACAGCTTGGAAGATCAAAGACAATTTTTTATATAACTCCGACTGGATTCGTCTGACAGAAGGAAGTCATATACACGTAGGATGCCTTGAGGGTACTTAATGGGCTAATTTATATTTGTGGGGTGAACTAACCTTTTAATATGCGCAGCGCTGCTGTGTTTACAGCGGGAACCAAGGAAACGCTGTATTACACCATAACTGCGAAACCCGACCGGGCCAGTAGAAAAAATTCTTAGCGTTGATCCCTGTAGTGTATACATGAAATTCATTTTTAATTTAGGAATAATCAATATATCCAAACCACTGACCGATAATGCATTTCACATACTATTATTTTAAAAGTAATAGATAGTATCCAGTATTTATGCAGTAAGCTAATATTCGATTTTAAACATCGTCATTATCTTTCTGCTTGATACAGCCAAATATTAAGAATCAAGACAGCAAGAAAACAACAAAAGGCAAACCCTCCAGAGCAAAACATGAAAACATTTCCAAATGAGTTTCAGGTGACTTGTGCACAACTGCACTCATTATAACAAGAGCGTTCATCAAACTAAACCTTCTGGCACTCAAGTGCTGAGCCGTAACCAGCTTCCATCTTCAAAACTACAGCCCCATCTAATATTACAATCACAGCAGAACTGATCTGAAGTCAGATCTCCTCTCAAGACAAAGGGACAAACACCAAGTTCTGAGACGGATCCCAGATATCAGGATGGGTTTGCAAGTACGAGGCCAGACTATAAAGAAGGTTAATTAATTCTCCTCGTTCAGGGGTAAACAGGCTCGCTCTAGGAGCAGGAGACTGGGGCACATTTTTTACATCCGGTTATCCAGCAGAACGACAAAACACAGCCCCTCCACAAATCAAATTTTAATTTTCTCTGCCCTGTAACGTGGAGGATAATGACCCGAGCGATCGTTTTTCATCAGTCATCTTCATCTCCGCTCTGAAGAACTACAAACACCAGCTGGAGTAAAAAAAGGAAAGGTGTTGAGATGATACACACAAGGTTAATGCATTCGTCCGACGACAAACAACAGCATGCTACATGTTTACGTAAAAACGCGCTTGCTTATGATTTGTCTTCATGCAATGCATTGAACAACAAGTATGGGTAAAAAAGGCTTTGTCTACATTTACCTCAATTTCAAGTTCACCGATTCTGTTCTTAGATCAGTGACTGGTGAAGTGAGTCTGACAGATTTGTCAATATATTGGACTTCAAAATGGAACAGTAGAAACTCAATAGCTGTTAACTGGAGGACTGGTCATTTCTTAACCAGTGAAGGCTATTGGGAAATGCCCAAGTCATCTTGTGTAAACACACTAGAAGGACACACAATGGAAGTCAGTGCTAATGGGTTATTGTTGAAAGTCATATTTATAATACTTGGTAGCTGCTGCAAATTGTTCTGTGATAATTGATTTAACTGGCTGGTAATTAATAAAGTAAACAGGAGAAGATCTAACAAATATGAGAGAGTCCGACAAGCTTGAATTATAGGGATTCATAAGTTGTCAGCTGGGAGTGTTCCAACTTCTATAGAAGGGATAGAAGGATGGTTTAATCAAAGAATGGATGGATAGATGGGCAGTTTGAGGAATGGAATGTATCGAGGGAAGAATGAAAGAATGGATGGATAGAGACATGAATTAATGGATGGATGGACGAAA